TTGGTGTGTCAGCATTTTGAAAAACCCTAACTTAACTCCGGTGCCGTGTCGCATATAGAAATTTTTTGATATTTGCAACCATAGTAAAACAAAGACTTATATTTTTGATATTTATTTTATATATTTAAATGCCATTTAACAAAGAAAAATCAACCGAAAAATGAGTGACATAGGTTCGCCATCACTGATCTAGTCTGTTCCCAGCAGTCAACATCTGAGCCTCAGCCTACCTACTGTCCAGGGTCCCTGGGTGTGCAAAGCTCCAGCTTCATGCATGTCTACAGACACACTGGCCTACTCCCCCAAACAAACAAAACACAAAAAAATCAGGTACCAAATTCAATTTGAAATATGAACCGGAAACTTGCGTTCACTAATCGGCCCCCTGACCAGGATTCTCGGTATATCACAATCCTGGCAAAAACACCACATTCAATGACTCTCACCTACCACTCCAGTTTTGGGTTTTCTGTTGTTAATCCTCACCCGAGGGTATTTTTCCATTGATTTAGAGAGTGGAAGAGAGAGGGAAAGGCAGAAAGAAATATTGATGTGACAGAAACACATCTCCTGCATGTGCTCCGACCAGGGCCCAGGCCAGGGAGGAGCCTGTATCCGAGGTACATGCCCTTGACGGGAATCAAACCTGTGACTCTTTGGTCCACAGCCTGACGCTCTATCCACTCAGGGAAACCAGCTAGGGCTCCAGTTCTTGATCACTGAGCCCCACAGCACCACCCAGGCCGACAACAAACCCTGTCGTTTGCATTTTCCATCATTAGTGTTTTCATAAACTCGGTAACACCGACACTAAAGCCAAGACGCCCTAGTGATTGAGACCAAAGTCCCCAGAGCTGCCCATCTCTCGCCTCACAGGCACCCTCCCGCCCCTCCTCGTCCGCAGCCCCGCGAAGACCCACCTGATGCTGAGCTTCTCAATACTCCAGGGCAGCGTCCAGTGCCCCAAGCCCTTTCTCTCTCTCTGTTGCTAGGGACGCTTCTCGGGAGTCCCGTTCTGGCCATGGGCGTGGCTCTGTTACGCAACGTGACCACGCCCACCACGCCCACCGCGCCACTCAGGCCCCCAGTGGCCGTTGTGGTGTCTACGCCTCAGCGCGCGGAGAAGAAATTGAAGTCACTTTGTGGACGCCTCTTAGCCTCCTTGAAAGTGCCAACAACACTGCGTTGAACAAGCCTTCAGAGGCCGAGCCTAGTCGAGGCCAAGGTGGAGCAAGTTGTATTCCCTTCATGCTTTGGGCAAAACGGGAAGATGGCGGCGCCCTGGCACTGCGCCCTGTAAGTTGCTTGGGGGCAGCCATCTTACCGGAAGTGCACTTCCCTAGGTCAGAGGGGACCCGGGACCTCATGCCATGAGAAGACTTGGGATGAAAAACTGCAAGTTTGTAGGAGCGGAGGCTTACGAGGTGGTGGTCAGACCTCACACGGCGCCCAGGAGGCCTTTCAGTCCTGGTGAGATCTGGGCATGGAGTGGGGCTGGGGGTGGGCCAGCCTGGAGGACTTTTGGTCAGACACCTCCTTGTAGAGGCAAAAGCAATGGTGAGGGCGGGCAGGGCTCTGAGAAATCGAGGCCCACAGGTTCCCTGGAAAAGTGATTCTCGGGATGAGGAGGACCCAGAAGGTGGGAAGTAAGAATTCCTCCCTCACGAAGACCAGTAATACTTTTTATTATTTCTTTCTTTCAAATATATATTTTATTGATTTTTTACAGAGGAAGGAAGAGGGATAGAGAGTTAGAAACAGCCATGAGAGAGAAACACCTTCTACTGGGGATGTGCCCGCAACCAAGATACATGCCCTTGGCCGGAATTGAACCTGGGGTCAGGACCTTTTTTTATTTACTAGAGGCCCAGTGCACGAATTTTGGGGGGGGGTGCAGTTTGTCTCAGCCCAGCTCTTGGGGAATCCCCAACTGACAGCTCCCTGTAGAGAGTGGGCATAAGCCAGCACTGGGACATCCTTAGCACTGTTGTGGAGGCAGGAGAAGTTCCCGCCACCACCACTGCGCTCACCAGCCGTGAACCCAGCTTCTGGCTGAGAGGTGCTCCCCCTGTGGGTGCACATTGACCACCAGGGGGCAGCTCCTATGTTGAGCGTCTACCCCCTGGTGGTCAGTGCGCATCATAGTAACCGGTCATGCTGCCGTTAGGTCAATTTGCATATTAGCCTTTTATCTCTCTCTCTTCCTTCCTCTCTGAAGTCAATAAAAAATAAATTTAAAAAAATCTTTATTGTTGAAAGTATTACATGTCTCCCTTTTCCCCCCATCAACCCCCTCCAGCCTACCTCTGCTCCCCATCCCAGGCCCTCACCACCCCACTGTGTGCATCCATGGGTTATACTTTTATTAATTGCCTGTTTGGCAACCAGTGTTTTAACTACGTGTACTTCTCACAACAAAGCTATGAGGAAAGATACAATGAGATACAGTTAAGTTGTTCAAAGGCACACAGCTTAGGATTCAAATCAGGCAAGTGTGAGTTCAGAACTCACTCCTAAGCATTATTCAAGGTGAAGGGTGGATTTCTTTGAGGATCCTGGGTGTGGTAGTAGGCTTAGGTGTGCACTAAGCTGCCTTCCCCTGGAGTTGTCAAGCTTTGAAAGGTGCGCTCAGCATGTAGGTCTCACAGCAGCCTGGCCAACCTACCTTTGCTTGGGTCCTGACTGTTCAATCCCATGATGTTGGAAAAAACACTGTAGTAATTTTGCAAACATAAATGAATACTACATACCTACAACTATAGTCTACATATTTCAATCCAAGAGTCACTTGTAATAATGTTCAGCAAATGATTAGCATGTGATAATACTGCATCTCACTTGGTAATTGGTTCTGTAACCATATGGAATGACTTTCTACAGCAGTTTTAACATGTGCACCAGCCAATGTTCCAACTTGTGCTAAGCCATGGCCTAGCTTTGTAGACATATCCTGTATAAATGTAAAATTATGTATGTACTGTAGGACAGACACATCATTGTAATCCTAAAGTATGGACAAATGGAAAAGAGTTAATTTAGCCCAGCCGACCTGGATATCAGGGTTAGATTCCCCACTGGGGCACATGCCTGGGTTGCAGGGTTGGTGCCCAGTAGGAGGCGTGCAGGAGACAGCTGATCAATGATTATCTCTCATCATTGATGTTTCTATCTCTCTCCCTCTCTGAAACCAATAAAAAATATTTTTTAAAGTTAATGTTAAATTAAAAATTCATACAAAAGTTGGAGTCTGGAGTGTCTGTGTTTTGTATAAGTGAGCACTGTAGCATAAAAAAGCAAACTGCATCAGACATTTTAAAAAAAAGACAAGTCCAGCCAGTGTTGTTCAGTGGTTGAATGTCAACCCATGAACCCGGAGATCACAGAACTTGGTCAGGGCACATGCCTAGGTTTCAGACTCGATACCTAGTAAGGGGCATGTGGGAAGCATCTGATTGGTGATTCTCTCTCGTCATTGATGTTCCTATCTCTCTCTCCTCCTTTCCTCTCTCTGAAATCAATAAAATTTTTAAAAGACAAAATTAAAAAATTTGCATTAATATGTGATGTAGGTTCAAACACCCATCCCAGAAAACATGAAATTGGCACATAAAACTCCAGTTGAAGAAGCATTGTTGAAGTGGTACCTGCAACAGCATTTTTATGGGATTCCAGTGCAGGCAGTTGAAATGAAATCTGCAGCAATGAAATTAGCAAACCATATGAACACACCATTCAAAGCAATTGGCTTTGGCGTTTTCCCAAAAGGCACAGAATTATGAACAAATTTACGGCAAAGCTTCAAGTACTCCAGAAGATATTGAACTATTTCGGCAAAAATTACTGGAACAAATAAATAATGAAATGCTATTACAGTCTCAGATTTATAGTGCTGACAAACTGGTTTGTTCTGGCGTTATGTACCTGAAAACACACAAGCCTCAAAATATGAACAATCAGCAAGGACAGGATCTCAGCACTGCTTTGTGCCAAAGCTGATAGATAGCATAAACGGACACCTGTAATTGTAGGCAAATCTCATAAACCTACAGTTTAAGAAATATATACGGAATCACCTGCCTATTTTGTACATCACTTACCCAGCCCATGGACCAGGGCCACATGCGGCTCTTTGGCCCCTTGAGTGTGGCTCTTCCTAAGCCTTAGGAGTACCCTAATTAAGTTAATAACAATGTACCTACCTATATAGTTTAAGTTTAAAAAATTTGGCTCTCAAAAGAAATTTCAATCGTCGTACTGTTGATATTTGGCTCTGTTGATTAATGAGTTTGCCGACCACTGGACCAGGGGATAATTCTGGAACCAAATGAATATACTGCAACAGTTTTTACTAGTAGAGGAAGTAATGGTTGCATTGCAGGGTGAATGAAGAAGATACAAGAGGACAGTGTACCTTACAAAATTTAGAGTTATAATTTAAAATCGGCAATTTTGAATTTTACTGAAACATTGAAAGAAAAAGTGCAAACATTGAAAAATGGTTGGAAGAATTTGCTTAACGATAAAGATGCAGACTTAGGTTTAAAAGGGCTAGAGGGCCCTAGCTGGTTTGGCTCAGTGGGTAGAGCATTGGCCTGCAGACGGAATGGTCTTGGGCTCAATTCCAGTCAAGGGCACATGGCCTGGTTTGTTGGCTTGATCCCCAGTAGGGGGTGTGTAGGAGGCAGCTGATCAATCATTGATGTTTCTAGCTCTCTCTTTCTTCCTCTCTAAAATCAATAAAAATATACTTAAAAATAATAATAGCCCTAACTAGTTTGGCTCAGTGGATAAAGCTTCAGCCTGTGGACTGAAGGGTTCCCAGTTCAATTCCAGTCAAGGGCATGTACCTTGGTTGCAGGCACATCCCCAGTTGGGGGTGTACGGGAGGCAGCTGATCAATGTTTCTCTCTTATCGATGTTTCTAACTCTCTATCCTTCTCCCTTCCTCTCTGTAAAAAAATCAATAAAATATATTTTAAAAATAATAAAAAATAAAATGGCTAGAGGTTACTGACTGCTGTAGGACAATACAGAATATTGGTGAAGAAGAAGCCAACCATTTTACAGTGGTTAGAATGACCCTGAGCATCACAGCATGATCAAAGTGAAATAGCAGATGAGGTTATATCTTAGAAGATGAGGATGGAAAATGAGGAAAAAGAAACAACACGTCAAAAATAAAGTTATCAGTGACTAGATAACATCTCAACAATTTAATAACATTTATTGACAATTCATCTGATAACAAAATTCAGTTTTATTACACCCTTTTATCTCGTTAATCCTTACCCGAGGATATTTGTCCTGTTTTTTGTTTTTGTTTTTGTTTTTTTTAGAGAGAGAGTATAAGGGAAGAAAGAGGAGTAACCTGTAACCCTGAGAATCTAACTCATGACCCCTTGCTTCAAGGGCCAACGCTCTAACCACTATGCAAACCAGCAGGGCTATTACACACACTTTTGTAACTTTAGGGAGATAATTACTTTAAAAAACCAGGAGACTAAAAAAGTTCAAATAAAACGATCGTTTTTTCAAAGCATGATTACCTAAAGCAAGTGCTTTGACATTGAACATAAATGTCACACCACAATGGGAATGTCTGGATATATCATCATCCAAAGATAATTAAATAGTAAAATATGTTTGCTTTTACTAATAATAAATTTAAATTTTGTTTTTAAGAACATTACTTATTTAGTTAAATAAAGTGTACATTCAGAAAAAGAATATTTCTATTTAGACTGCATACTTAGAGTCTCAAAACTACAGTGCGTATATAGCAATAATGCACACAGAAAACTTTTGTGAAATTAAACTTTTCGTATAATTTTAAATGTTGCAAGTGTTACATATGTCCCCTTTTTTCCACCATTGACCCCCTACAGCCCCCCACCCCCTGCCTTCACCACCCTATTGTCTGTGTCCATGCGTTATGCATATATGCATACAAGTCCTTTGGTTAATTACCTCTCACTCACCCACCCTCCCACCACCTTCCTGCCAAGTTTCCACACTTTGTTTCATTCTTCCATGTCTCTGGGTCCACTCTGTTCATCAGTTTACTTGTTACTTAGATTCCAAATATGAGTGAGATCATGTAACATTTATCCTTCTATGACTGACTTCACTTACCATGATACTCTCCAGGTCCCTCCATGCTGTCTTAAAGGGTAAGAGATTTTTCTTTCTTTATGCTGCATAGTATTCCTTCGTATAAATGTTCCACAGCTTTTTTATCCACTCATCTACTACTGGGCACTGGACTGTTTCCAGATCTTAGCGATTGTAAATTGTGCTGCTGTGAACATGGGACTGCATACATTCTTTCTGATTGGTGTTTTGGGTTTCTTAGGATATATTCCTAGAAGTGGGATCACTGGGTCACATGGCAGATCCATATTTAATTATTTGAGGGAACCCCATGCTGTTTTCCATAATGGCTGCACCAGTGTGCATTCCCAGCAGCAATGCACTAGGGTTCCATTTTA